GGAACCTGCTGTCTCCAATGTTTCCATCACCAAGTCTATGACCATTAATTATACGTTGTGTGTTTCCAATTCACTGTAACAGTCATTTAAAGGGTCTACTGTTTAACTCTAGTAACACCATGGAACCACCATTTTTCTCTAAGCTTTTACGTTTTGTTGCAAAGGCGTTCTATGTTTAGTTAACATAGGGAGACCGTCCACTGCAGACATTTGGTAGAATTGCACGGGGCAAAATCCGACGGGGAGGTGCCTGAACATATTGAAACGCATTGAAATGTGTATTGTTTTGCTTATCGTCAGATGCTTTTGCCAGGGCCTGCCCGTCCTATTGGGACGTCGAGATGGGGATACCCTGAGCTTTGGCAAGATGAAGGGTGATGCCTCTGACAAGAACATTGCCTGCATGCTTCAGGATGACAAGGCTGGGCAGGTGTCGCACATTGACGGCGCCAGGGTGATGTTGCAGTATGTTGCAGTCCTTTTTGGGGGGCATGAAAGACGGTTTTTGGGGGTGGCTTTGGCCTTCGGGACTAGATTTGGCGGAGTTCCTTTGTTGATGTCATTCCCGGTGAAGCTTCTGAGGTCACCAAAAAGTTCTTGAACAAGAGCGACCTCGCAGACTGGTGGGTGGAGAGCCAGCCCCATCGTTTCCTCAGTGGAGGCCATTGCTAGTAGCTAGTAGGTTTGAGGCCAGTGCTAGTAGGTTGGAGGACTTGGTTAGAAGTCCTGCAACTCAGGTCGCGACGATGAGGGTAGCTTGGTGTAGTCTAGTTCTGCAATTGCTTCGGCAGTTGCTGTGGAACGTCGGCTTGCCATAAAATGCAACAAGAAGTTAGTTGAGCACAGCTATTGATTTGCAACTGCTTCAGTTGAGACCTTGGTGTCCATGTTCCACTCTGTCTTGAAGCCAAAGCGCGTGTTCCACGATGATCTCCTGGACTCCATTGATTATCTCTGTGTGACCCACAAATTTCAAGGGTCTGGCATTGAAAATAGAGAGCATGCCCTCGGTTAAGTGGCAAAGTCTGTCATTGCGCGATGCTGCCTCCACTTTATTGCGATGCCCTGAGGCTTTAGGTATATCGTGTCATGGTCACAGTCTCAACGCAGGAGACACGTGGTGACACATTCAAGCGGACAGCTGCGAAAATAACTATATACGTAGCGTTTTGCATCGGCAATTTCAAAACAAAACGCCAGGACGCTATATATAGTTGTGGAAAATAAGGTCCCATTGGTCAGCATTTCAAATCGAGAAGTGTACCAATGAACGCCGCCTCAAGCAGAGGCTCAGCGGTGGACCCTGGGTCGCGTCGGAAAAGTCCGATGCTGTGGTCCTTAGTGGTAGCGGAGCAATAAGCTCCAGGTAGATCCTTTTTGGTAGGTGGTTGGTTAGTTTGTGCCATGGCGGCTGATGGGCGCGCGCAGCCAGTTCCTCGCAGTGATGGAAGCGAGGATGCTGATGGTGGACCTGCTGGTTCAGGTCGAAGAGAGCCTCGTAGACGAGGCACTGATGAGTCCCCGGCAGGAGCTGGGATGTCCGATGATTTTGACAGTGATGAGTTCCGAGAGTTCTTGAGGATGAGAAGAACGAGGGGACGAAGTCATGGAGGTCGTCGAGAAGACGATCACGGAGGGCTTCGAGGAGAAGAAGATGGTGATTGGAAGGGCGGTGGAACCCATTCCAAACCGCCTGAATGGGATGGAGAAGCCGTCCCCTTTCAGGATTGGCTGATCAAGGCACGGCTGTGGCTCGCCACTACGAAGGTCCGAAAGAAGACCCAGGGTCCTATGATTCTTCAAGGACTTTCGGGAGTGGCATTTCAGACTTTCAAACATTGGGCAAAAGATGTCGAGTGGCTTCAGAATGAGGATGGTGGATTGGTTCTGCTTGAGGCCATGAACCTGCCAGAGAACTTCGGAGAGGATCGAGATGAAGACCTACTCAGCGCCTTGGCAAAAATTACTTACCACCTCCGTCGAGAACGGCATGAAGACCATCGAATGTTCTTCAATAGATGGGAAGAAGCACTTCGACGAGTCTCGGAACATGGAGTGGTGCTCCCCGACCAGTACAAAGGATTCCTCCTGGTGAACGCTATGGCTTTGAGTGAGCAAGACATCAAGGGACTTCTGAATTTCACCAGAGGAAGTATCGCCACCGAAGATGTGAAGGAATGGACAAGAAAACATGAGACGAAGCTCATGGTCAAAGAGGTTGGAACCGAAAGCCAGAAGAGAGGAAAAACTACCTCTGGGACATCGTCTTCTTCGGCAGTGCACCATATGACCGCAGAGGAGACGGGTGACTTCCATGACGAGGACGAGATTTTGGAGGCGGTGCTGGAAGAACTGGATGGTGAGGAAGACGCCGCCCTACCAGATGGAGATCCAGAGGGAGAGGAAGAGCCTTTGGAGGAACACGAAATTCGAGAAGTGTTGAACACCATGTTCCAAAAGCGCACATTTAGCCAAAGCCTCAAACTCAAGAAGGCCAAGGAGTTGGCCAGGGGCTATGGAGGATGGAAAGGGTCCGGAAAAGACAAAGGCAAGCAGGGGAAGAGCAAGATCATCGACCAGATGAAGCAGAACAGCCGGTGTGCCATTTGTAAGAAGATTGGTCATTGGCATCGAGAATGCCCAGAAGGAAAAGGCAGAGGAAAGACTGGTCCAAAAGAGGCCCACTACCTGCAGAACATGGCGATGGAGGAGACGGAAGAGGCCTATTTCTGTGGGCACCTGGAAGTGGATCCGGAGTTACTTCCTGATGACCAGTTGGCAAAATTGAACGACGAAATGCTCTTCCGGTTGGCCGACCCGGAAGACCGTGAGCTGAAGGAGATCTATGGCGACCAGTATCGGCACTTTGAGGAGACCTATGACCCTGGTGATGAATGGTTTTGGCAAGATGCGACCGAGGTTGAGACGGACGTGAAGGAAAAGTCTTCGCTGATTCCTCCCTCGGTGGCCATGCCAACAACGACGCCGAGCCGAACTGAGCCAGTGAACGGGGAACACGATCCGGAGGGTCGTCTTTTTGATATGGTGTCCAGCTCCCACAATGTAGCTGGAGGCAAGCAGCATGTTCGATCCCGATACAAGGTCCAATGCATGGAGATTGGCGGGGGTATCGGTTCGCGCACTCATGAAGTTTTTTTTTCTGGGGATGATTTTGGTTTGCGGGGGAAAGCATCCGAGAATCATAAGAACCTAGAAGGCACGAGAGGGACACGACCAAAGACGAAGCCAACACGATCAGGACGATCAGACCAAGAAGACGGCTGCGCTACGATAGATACGGGGTGTCAGAGAATGGCAGTTGGGGCCGAAACCTTGTACCGTTTGGCGAAACAACTCCCTCAGGATATGATGATTGGCACTCTACCTCAAGAACATCGTTTCAGGTCGGTGAATGGTACATCGACAACCACCCACCTGGCATCGATTCCTACTAGTCTGGGCAACAAAGGCAGCATATTGCGTCCTGCGATCTTTCATGAAGGAGAATCTCGACAAGCTCCATTCCTGATCTCACTACCCTTCTTGCTGTATTGTCGGGCAGTGTTGTACTTGGATCCGCAAAAGGGGCTGAGATTGTATTTGAGAAGGTTTGCATTTGGGGTAGATTGCCACATTGGACCTACAGGAGCCCTAAGAGTACCTCTCAATCAGTTCACCACCGAGCAAATGGAAAGACTTCAAAAGGCTCATGAGCAACTTCAACACCAATCCACTGAGTTTGAGGTCATGAAGATGACGATGAAAGAAAGTTTCGGCTCGAACCACGAGGAACAAGAATCGCGCCCAAGATCAGAAGACCCCTCGGTTGAAAGCGGCCATGAAGCGCAGCCGAATCGAGGAGAGCCAGTACATGAACGTGTGGGTGCGAATGGTGATGAAGCTCCTCTTCGTGATGATTCGACTGACCGAACTCTCGATCCGATTGGTGATGGGAGAGAAGCAGATGACCGATGTCGAGCCGGACGAGGACTGGGAGGCAGTGGAGACGGAGCCTGCTTCGCCGTACAATCTGTGGCCCAATCCGGGAGTGCAGAGGAGTCCACAGTCGATCCTGTCCGAGACCCGGTCAACTCGGACCCAGACCACCAACAAGCAGTCTCCGAGCTACACTCCTTCATCGGGATCAGAGACGCAGTACCCGAGGCCGAAGGCCTTCCCACAGGTCAAGTCCAAGGAAGTGGCCGATTGGGAACACCTACACCTCAAGTCCAAGGAGAAGGTCGACCTGGAACAACTCAAAATCGACTTCGAGAAAAGGAGAGAGGAGTGCAATCACAAGAAGACCACTCGAAAAGGAACGAACGCCTTCGTGGAGATCGAGCGGTGTCTGACATGCGGAAAAACATTGAAGTCCGAGAGAAAGGACAACGGGGAGAAGGAGAAGGTCAAGAAGGAACCTCCCTCAAACGAGAAGGCGGACTCGGAGATCGAGGAGGAGAAGCAGGACTACCAGGAGTTCATGGAATTCCAGAAATGGAAAGCGAGCAAAGACAAATCGAAGAAGCACTTCTCGAACAAGGCATGAAGGCCATGGGAGAATGGAGAGCACTGAGCGAAAAGAACCAGAAGGCCATGATTGCTTCCTTAGAGATAGCAGAGAACTATGTGATGGAGATTATGAACCTTCTCAAAAATGAAGAGCCAATTTGTGCAATTGAAAAAGAATTTGAGCATATCCGGTCCAACACGCAAACACAGAAGAAGTATGCTAAGATATAAAGGGTTCTCCGAAGGCCGTCGTCGAGATTTTCAATCCACATCGATTTGCACCCCATTGCAACCGGTCAGGACTTTTGGCAGCAGCAGCTTTCGATCTGGAACTGGGGCATGAACTACTCCAACCAAAAGTTCGAGAGCAAGTCAAGAACTATATCAAGGAGGTACGGCCTGGACTGGTGATCCTGTCTCCACCCTGCACCTTGTTCAGCGTCATGCAGAATATGAACCTGGTGAAGCGGGACTTCATAAAAAGGCTTCGAGAAGCCAAGGTTCTCCTGAGATTTGCGGTGAAAGTGATCGAGGAGGTGATCAACTACGGAGGAGTGTACCTGTTGGAACAGCCACTCACGTCCAAGGCATGGATGGAGACGGTCCTACAACAGATCATGAACCGAGAAGACTGCATTCTGGCTCAATGTGACCAATGTCAGTATGGCCTTCAGGATTACCATGGAGGCAAGATGAAGAAAAGCACTGGATGGATCACCAACAGTCCGCAAATAGCCAATCGGCTAGACAAGAAATGTGATGGAACCCACGAGCACACTCACGTGTTGGGATCAAGTGGAGGACAAAATCGATCTACACAAGCACAGATCTACCCAAGGCCTCTGATTCAAGCCATACTGGATGGCTACCGTGAAGAAATACAACGTCAAGGACATCCCAAAGTGAGCGAGCAGATGCAATGGATGACGATGGTGGACTGTCATCACCTCGAAGATCGAATACGACAATACGAAAACCTTTGGAAATGGTTCATAGAAGAAGAGAAGGAGAAGATTCACCTGGTTCAAGCTCTGGAAGAAAAACAGGAAGATGAAAATGAAGATGAAGAAGGAAAGAAATGGCTCCCTCGAGAACGCCCCTTTTCCCTCGAACAACTGGTACGTCGAGCACACGAGGGACTTGGACATCCGGGCAATGATAGGTTGGCCCGAATACTCCAAGGAGGAGGAGCTTCGAAGAAAGCCATTGAATATGCCAAGAAGTTGACGTGTTCAGTATGTCAGCAGCATCAATTGGTTCGACCACCTCGAGCAGCAGCTCCACCAAAAGAATTACCTCCGAACCATACAGTTGGTATTGATACCATCTGGCTGCCAACGCCCGGAAAGAAGAGGCGAATGGCGCTCAACATTGTATGTTGGGCTACTCGATTTCAGATGGTGATCCCTCTTCGAAGTCACACTGCACCAGACGCCCGAAGAGCCTATCTGGAATGGGTGAGGTTCATGGGAGTGCCCCAACGATTGTTCACAGACCTCGGAAAAGAATTCTGTTCAGCATTCCAAGATGGCGCGGAACTTGATGAAACGCTCGTAGAACCAAGTGCCTTGGAAATGCCCACACAAAGGGCCATCACAGAAAGAGCAGGGAAAACCTTCAAAGAAATCTTGGAGAAGGCGATGGATAACTATGCCACACAGTCGGAATCGGAGTGGAGAGATTTGGTGGACATCGTGAACATGACGGTGAACCGCCTGACCAACAAGTCCGGCTATTCTCCCTGCCAGAGGCTATTGGGATATACCCCAAAGATGCCAGGAGGATTACAGTTTCTTACTGAAGAAGAGAAGAAGGAGAGACAATGGGCCAATCGAGGAGACCTACAGATGCAAAGAGCGCAAACGATGAGATTGGCGGCAGCAAAAGCATTTCATGAAATTGAATGCCAACAAGCCATGAAGAACGCCATTCACCATGGCCGGAGGAGTATCAAGGACTTCGAAGTGGGGCAGACGGTATACTTCTGGAGAAGAGCACCAGGAGATAAAGCAAGCAAGGAAAGCACAAGGTATTGGAGAGGCCCCGCAAAGGTCGTATTGACTTCCCCGCCTGGTGCTGTCTGGATTAACTTTCGCAGACACATTGTCAAAGCAGCACCTGAACAATTACGGCACGCAAGCATGGAGGAGCATCAATCATTGTCTTCATGGATGGAGGGATTGTCCCACCTACGGCAGATCATTGAAGAAGAACCGAAGGCAGGCTACATCGACCTGACGAAGGAATATAAGGAGGAGGACTTCGAAGATGAAGAAGAAGATATACCGTTAGAGTCAAGAGACTCGAGAAAAGAAAAGCCGAAATACAAAATTGAAGGTAAAACTGAACGAAAAGATGTGGTGATGAGAGAGGAGGAAGATGAATGGCTGTGGAACGAGGCCAAACAAACGCTGACGCGGTTCCATCTACAATATCGACAACATCTCTTCAAGCCGACAGATGTGTCTGATTGCCCAGTGGACTACAACAAGCTAGGACCGCAGAGGAGAACGACGATGTACTTTGAAGATGGATCTAGCAAAGAAATCGTCGATGATTGGCACGAGGAAGCTCAACCAGTCCACAAACGGTGGAAAGGCAGAACCGAATTTCAAATGATGATTGAGAAGTTCGCCTGGGAGAAGGGAGAGCCGGAAGCGGAGGAGACTACGAGAATGACGAGTCCTACGGTTTCCTTATCAGGAACAACAACAGAGGAAGCGAAAATCGGTCTCAAGAGAGGAGCTGGAGAAGATGAAGAGAACAATGAAGGTCTTGAGAAAAGGGCAAGAACTGAGACAGTGGAAGACCAAAAGAAGGAGGAGGAGCCAATTCGAGGACTATCTCGACCCTTTGAAATCGATGGAGAAGATCAAGAGCAGATACCCAAAAGACAACGAATCGACTGGTTTGAAGTGATGATCAACACAGTGATGCCAGTCATGAAGAAGCCGAAAGGACAGAATGAGATCAAGCTCAAGCAATTGCTGGATGAAGCTAAAACCAAATACTACAAAGCAATCAAGAAGGAGATTGACAACAACATCAAGACAGGAGCTTATGAGATTCTCTCACCAGAGGCATCAGAAGAAGTCCGGCGAGCTGGACACAATATCCTTCAGTCTCGCTACGTCTTGGTGGAGAAACGAATTGAAGAAGATGAGGTACCAGCAATGCAAGAAGAAGGAATTCTACTGAGGACCGATGAACACGGAGGATTCAAGGCCAAAGCTCGACACGTGATGAAAGGCTTTAGCGAACCGGACTCTGAATGGTTGGAAGCCGCGACTCCACAGGTAGCACCAGAAACAGTCCTACTTATTCTACAAACGATAAGCTCATCAAGGTGGACGCCTGGGTATTTGGACTTCACTCAAGCCTTTCACAGCGGAGACCCCATTTCGAGGTTGCTTTTTGCGGAAGTACCACCAGAAGGAATCCCAGGAGTACAAGAAAGACAACTTTTGAAGCTGAAGAAACATTGCTACGGCCTCTTGGACGGTCCTTATCAATGGTATGTCCATCTGCAAAAGATACTGACTCAATTGGGCTATGAACAATCACAGGCCGATCCATGCCTATACTTCCTGTTCGATACTCCAGAAGCAGCAGATAGAGATGAAGAAAGTGAGAGACGACTAGAAGGAATTATTGGAGTGGCAACGGATGATTTGATTCATGGAGGAGGACCACGTCATTGGCAACAAATGCAATGGATTCAACAGCACTACAAGTTGGGAAAGTTCACAAAAGGAGATGGAAGATTTGTGGGAAAAGAAATCAACTGTCTTCCTGATGGAAGCATCAAAGTACATCAAAGAATGTACGTACAAGAAAAGATCAAGCCAATCGAGATCCCAAAAGAGCGAAGGACTCAGAAGTATGCGCTATGCACTCCGGAAGAGACTTCATCATTGAGGACTGCTTTGGGATCACTTGCTTGGTTAGCCAAAGAAACAAGACCCGACTTGATGGGAAGAGTATGCATTCTTCAACAGTGCATGCCACATCCCTATGTGAGGGATATGCTGGAAGCGAACGCCTTGTCCAAGGAGGCCATGGAAGAGGTTGAGACGGGCATCGTCTTGAGGCCCATTCCGATGAAGGACATCCGAATTGGATCAGCTTCGGATGCAAGTTGTGGAAACTCACCTTGCCAGGAGCTCGAAGGAAAAAGCGAAGACTTCTGGGAAGAAAAAGATGAGTTATGGATCCGACATCATGTCCAAGCAAGACATATACTATTTCACCCAGGAGCGGCATATGGAGGACCACAACTCCATGAGATAGAGGAAGAACGGGCCACTTGGATTGACGGTGAACTGTTCGAAGACACCTGGAATAGAAGGAATGATGTGAAAAGACATGGATCCTCTGAATGGAAAGGACACACCGTGTTCGTCAAGAAGAAGAGCTCCAAAAAGATCGAAATTCATGAACGATTCCTACAAGTTGGAAGAACACACAGTCAAGGAGGACACATAGTGTTTGCATACCACAAGAATTTAGAGACAGAGCAAACACCACAACCCATTTCAGTGCTGAGTTGGAAAAGTTCGAGATTGAAAAGACGTACGGTCAATACATTGGCAGCGGAAGCACAAGCAATGGTGCAGGCCGTGGGAGCATCCTATTGGATTAGATTTTTGTTGGCTGAGATCAAAGGATTGAAGATGAGTTTGCAAAATTGGCAAAAGCAGATCAGCCGAACTCCCTACATGACGGCCACGGATTCCAGATCGCTGTTCGACAACTTGACCAGATCCACCAACGTGGCAGCACACATAGAGGACAAGCGCACCGCGATCGACTTGGCCATTTTGAAGAATGACATGAACACGACTCGAGGACAGACCCGGTGGGTGCCAGGTTCGATAATGATCTCGGATAGCTTAACTAAGAAGGGGCCTTCTACTTTCTTAAGGGGAGTTCTTCGTATCGCATGTTGGACCTTGTTTGAGCTTGGAGCTAAAAAGCTTCAAGAAATGCTGACCAAAAGAAGTTGGGACCGATGTGGAAAATAAGGTCCCATTGGTCAGCATTTCAAATCGAGAAGTGTACCAATGAACGCCGCCTCAAGCAGAGGCTCAGCGGTGGACCCTGGGTCGCGTCGGAAAAGTCCGATGCTGTGGTCCTTAATAGTATATTGCTTGTAAGATAGAAAAGTCGAAGCCTTTCGTTGAGTGGCCGTGTGCATGGAGACCGTGGAACCAATGCAGAGTTCTTTCAAGTCATCACCTCAGAATGCGTTCTTATCTGTGTTTCTGGCATTTGTATGGACGGTATAGCTTCGTTTTTGCTTGAGCCGCTTTGGAATTGTTGTGAATTGGGATGGCATGAGTCGTTTTGCTCAGGGACAAACCTTTCAACATTATGGCTATCCAGGACTTCGCAAACTTTAGCCGTGTTGTTTCTTCTTGTTGCTGACATCGACGACGTTCTTGCCAACTTGCCTTGACTTGTTTCGTTAAGGTCGCTTCACGTCTGAAGGAGCTATTGGGCGGAGCGTTTCTTCGGATGGATCAAGGTGACCCTGAAGGAGCATTGCCTGAGCTCCAAGTTCAGAGCGTGAACGGAGCGAACGCTAGCCGCTACACACAGTTGATGAAGTGTGAACTCGGTCTTTGCGTGTCAGGAGAGCCATGCGTTTCCAGTAAATGTTCCGAACTGTAGGTCTTGTGCCTTGCAGGCTCTCCGGATTAGTGCTGGATGCTAAGTTTCTTCAAGCTTGATAGGAAGCAGATTGATTATGCCAAGGGTTCTTTCAGTAAGGGTGGGGGGGGTTGTGTCCCTAGAGTAGATTGGCCTACCAACTTCCTTGCCCCAACCCCTCTCAGCCTCCCCACTGCTGTTCTTTATCACGCTTTAGGCTGGCCCAGAGGCAGCCGCTTGGAGTGCTGCTCGACGAGACACCGCGTTGCAGGCAGAGTAGACGCGGTTGTTGAAGTGTTAAAACTCAAGATTTTTTGGCTCAGCCACAAGTGGGAAAGAGTTATGGATAAAGCCAGATACAACGGCAGCCTCAATCACAGCCTTTCCACCCCAGATGCGTTGCCTCTTTTTGAGTTATGCTCGTGTTGTGTGGGGCTCCAAGCCCCTCATTCATCGCAGGTCTGTCGTACAATTCTAGAGCGTGGAGGCATCTTGGTCGAGAGGCTCGCAATTCTGAAGACTGAGCAGACATGAAAAGGCATCGCTTCTAGTAACAAGTGCCTTACTAGTAGTAACAAGAAGCTACTAGAAACAAGTGCATCGCTTCTAGTAACAAGACTGAGCGGACATGAAGGCTTTGTTGCATTCTGAAACCCAAAGGAACTCAGAGGACTGAGGACCAAAAGGTTTTGCTCCGTTCGTAGCGATGCCCTTTGCTCCTAGTAGCTTCTTGTTACTAGTAGTAAGGCACTTGTTCCTAGTAGCGATGCACTTGTTCCTAGTAGCATTCCTAGGACCAAAAGGTTTTGCTGTGAGAGTTTTGTGCATATCCTTCATGGTGGATTGCGCGAGGGGGCACGAAGCGGTACTCAAGCAGACTTTGCAGGCGGGCAGATGTTTTCGCGCCATACTTTCCATTGCTTCCTCGAAAAAAGCGCTGCTTGGATGGATATTGACATTGTATTTTGGGACATTTATTCCTATCGATGCACGTTTGCCAGGATGGGTCATCAGTGATATGCACTCGCTGTGGTGCGCTAGTTGCTTGGTCGAGGGCAGAGGCGTTTGAGACATCAACGTTGCTTTATGTTGCTTTATGAGGTGACGGCTTCCAATCTACTGGCGATGCCCTCCAACCTAGTTAGTAACGATGGCCTCCAGCCTACTAGCGATGACCTCCAACCTAGTGGCGATGGCCTCCAACCTTAGTGACGATGGTCTCCAGCCTACTAGCGATGGCCTCCAACCTAGTAGCGATGGCCTCCAGCCTACTAGCGATGGCCTCCAACCTGGTAGCGATGGCCTCCAACCTAGTGGCGGCAATGGCCTCCAAACATAGTAGCGATGGCTTCCAGCCTACTAGCGATGCCCTCCAACCTAGTGGCAATGGCCTCCAGCGTACTAGCGATGGCCTCCAACTGTATGAGGTGATGATTAATCATCGAAAAAGGGTCCGGATGCTGTTTTGGTGATGCATTCGGCCAGGCCCACCGGGCCATATGGTGTTCGAGCTTGGGAGATCAGGCTATGGTAGTGTATGGTTATCCAACATGCATCAACATGACAATTAGTTGGACCGGTCGCAGGTCGCGGAAACAGATGCAGCCCCCGGCATCTCGGCTTAAAGATGTTTAAAGCCTTTACAAAGGCACAACTTAGAGAAACAGAACGGCAAGTCTCAAAGGTCTCCAAGAAAGGGACAACCCTTGGATGCCGCCCAGCGCACCTGGTCATAGATCAGGGTTCACACTGAGACTGCGTTGACTCGATTCCTTGTCAAGCGATCTGAGGTGATGCTTCCAATGATGACATGGACATTGATTACGGAGCTCCAACGGGATGCTAAACTTCTATGATTTCTATTGATCAATGTTCTCAGATTCCTTTTGTCAAAGTTTGAGACCACGTGGCCAAAAAGTGGCTAGAATGTCTGAATTCATCCAATGGTTGCACTCATGGAGTGGACATCAATGCAAATCCATCAGATAGAAAGAAGTGCTTGCAAGTCGGCGCAATTGAGATACACCCTGCATGCTTGCCAGTCAGTCGCGACAAGAGTTCAATTGTCGATTTATGCGTATGACATCATGTGATTGTCTAAACTGTGGTTATTTCTGTTCGTCGTGGGGTATGGTGGAGACCACAATCCATGGCGCCACCGCGGTTCAGTGCCCCGAGGGCAGTAGGGACCGGTCAGAAGTTGCGAGTGCTTGAGGCGACGCAACATGGTGTTTGGTGAACTCTCCTGGACAAATCCGCAAGGTACACAAACGTGCTGAGCTTCTTGGGACACAACGCCCCACCGAGTCACGCGATGGGAGAGACCTGGGACGGATATCTGAAGGAGGCTCAAAAATTGGAGCATCCCTTCAGATCAATGACTGATCTCAAGGACACACCATCGGGCCCTACGAGACGCTTCCACAACAGACAATCTGCGCAATGAAGAACGCCTCAAAACATTAAATCCTTAAGTCGATGAATGAGACATGACCTGCAAAACCTCACAATGGTGGATGCTGAGGGCCACTTCAACCTCACCCAGCTTTCAACATACCTTCTTTCCGTTCTATCCATTTGTCAATATATTTGTCTATCTATCTATCTATCTCTCTCTCTCTCTTTCACTATCTCTCTCTATCTGCACTTCCAAGTTCACAAAATACTTCACCTTACACGAAAAAATAAAACAACAAAAAAGTCCAAGTAAAATCTGAACCCCTTTCATTTCAATCAATGATTCATTGACCAAGATTTTGGCTCTTTGCATAATAAAGTACACCATTGTTCAAGATGTAGCTCTCTACGCGTCTCAGCACGCGCTAGCTTTCACCCAGGTTGTTTTGACAACACCGGCTCGCCAGCTTCATTGAGTGAGTCTGTCAGTCTTCTTGGCAAAGCGAACTAAAACTCCCAGTGAACGTCTCCAGTGAGCTCCGAGATCGCCGATGGCTTTGGGCCGCTTTCGACGAGCAGCAGGCCGAGAAGGCCGCGGTTGGATGGGGTTCGTCCTTTCGGGAAAAAAGAGCACGTCGCTTGCTGAGGCACAATTTTTGTACCTCCCATCTCTCCTTTTTCCCGGCCCTGACTTTCGGATAGAGATATACGGAATGTAGAGAGAGAGAGAGAGAGAGAAATAGAGAGAGAGAGAGGGGGAGGATTTAGGTGAAGCAGCTTGGCCTTGCGGGGCGTTGAAGTCAACGTTTGAAACCACAAATTAGGACCGTCCTTAATGTGAGGGTTGGCGAGCACCACTGTAGTTTGCAAGACGCCTGTAATCAGTGAGGGTTGTGACCTCACGCAAGGTAAGGCCAAAGTGATTTTTTGTACTGAGTTTACTGCTTCCCATGGCCACCCGCTTCCCATCTCCTCTCCTCTCCCATCTCTCCTCTCCCATCTCCTCTCCTCTCCCATCTCTCCTCTCTCCTCTCCTCTCTCCTCTCCTCTCTCCTCTCCTCTCTCCTCCCATGCGCATGGTTCCGCCAACAGACTCGCAATCAAGTTGTTCAGCTTGAGCCACCTGCGGCCGAAGATGGCCTCCATCTTAATAGCGATGGCCTCCAACCTAATGGCCATGACCTCCAACCTACTAGTGGCGGCCTCCAACCTACTAGCAACGCGCTTGGAAACACCGTCCGGACACGTAGACCAAGAACCGAACGCCAGCAATATGCCGTGGTTGTTTTTGCCTTTTGGCCATCAAGTCTCAAAGTGCTAAAGGCAGTTGATATCCAGTATCCAGTCAGTAAATCACCATGCATCCAGTATGCCTGGATCTGCCAATCAGTGTTTGTCAATGTTGGGTAAATAGATGATATGGTCAGTTAGTAAATCCACCATTCTTTTGGACAGAAAGTGGTGCAACTTTCACCTCCGACACGGCGCCTGAAGAGGTGTGCGGCGGCGCTCGCCTGCATGGCCTACGCGAACTGCCTTGGACATGGAGGCATGCTGTGGACCAACACCTGAAACACACATAGGGCTGGAGCGTTGACCAAGTTGAGGGTCTTGATTTACTACAGGTATGTACAATGTAGACTCTTCATTTATAGCCCTGCTGCAGGATTGTAAACTCATTAATTAGTCACCACAGTCAACATCTCCCAAACGAGGTTTGACCCATACGTACCCGGGGGGCGACCACTATCGTGGTGATACTTCACCGGGTGGCTGAACTTTGGAGTGTTCCCTTCAGGGCGATCCACCCCTCCATCCTCCACGTACATCTTGCCCCTCAAAACGATTCTGAAAATGACCCTCTCTCTCCATCCACCAAAACCCCACGCAGAACTGTGAGGGGGGGGCGTTTATTAATCCGGTGTCGAGATTACTGTAACTTAGTAGCGACGCACTTGTTACCCCAAGTTTTGGTTGTTTTATGTGAACCCGGAACCAAACGACATCTTGGCGTGCCAGTGCCATCGAGCCTTTGAAACCACTGTAACAGTTGCATTGGATCAGCTCTTTCTGGGTGAATGTGGGGTCCACAACTCACCAGAGAGCCTCTTGGAAGCGCAACCATCTGATCCTCGACCTTCGCATCTTCCAGGGCCTTCAGCCCATGAGACTATGTTTCTTTCGATGTCCCCTCTGAAGCCGCCATGGTCCTACCAAAAAGGAAAGCCCTGGTCAGAGCGTTGGGCTCATAACCCTCTTCACAAAAATCCGCTGTCCTTTTCTCGCTCGATATACAAAACTACCCGCCATTTTCGTACATTTTTTATTTTTTTGATTTTTTGATATTCAATGGTTCAAGGCTGAAGCCTCAAAGAGAATCAGCCCATGGAACCCCAAAGTGAGAAAAACAAACCATCCATCATACTTCAACCTACGCTTCAAATTCCTACTTCCCACTAGATGCTCCAACTGAGCTTTCAACTTTCTTGATTCCTTTCACCCTCAATGCCCTTCTCTTGAGCAGCTGCTGCGGTGCGCTGCCTCCATCAGCGAACCCAAGGCCGGATGTGGGGAGAAGTCCATCACTTATTTCCAGCATCTTTTAAAATGTGTACCCTATCTAGAGCCAATCCTCATTAAAAGATTCCCAGTCTACCAGCCTATGGCCCTTGATTTTCATGTAACCTTTCACGGGCTGGAAGCAAGTGACACCAGGCAGCGGCTTATTGGCTTTGCGGCTGCACGTCAGCTTCTTGAATTAAAGGCGCTGGTGTGGAGGGAGTGTGGATGTTAGGCTATGTTTTGTGGAAAGGCTGAGCCTACTTTATTCTTTTGAGGCCTGCGGGTGCCACACTCAACCGTTTCCAGAGATGATGTCCAACCCATGGCAAACCCACACAGACACACTTGACAGGCGGCTGGCTGCTGCGGCTCTTCGGCTTTGCGGCTCTTCAGCTTCTTGGGTAGAAGGCGCCAGGGCCAGGGCTCTGTCAGGGGATGCTTGGTCGATCGCAGCTGGGAATTGAATGGGTTTTGTTGGTTATTTGCACTAAAGCTGGCAGGGGCCTCCTTTCTTGCAGCCCTCGTCGCCAACCGCCGGGGCCTGAAGTTCCCGGACGGTGAAGCAAAATTTTCAGCAGCATGTTGGGCTCAATAGCTTTGTAGTTGCCTGGAACAGGAGACACTATTTTTTTATGGTGTTAGGGACGACAAGTTCAAACATTGACCGTTATGCTATGTCGTTCAGCCAGAAACCCGGCCAAGGCGTTTCTTCTTGCAGCTCCTTCGTGTGGAGGCCAACCGGGCTTGAGAGTTGGAAGGGTTCGATTTCCGCCTGCATGCAGACTGCAGAGTTTTATGGCTGAGACTGAGGCAGTTGCTATAGGCTCAACGGCTCTTTGCGGCTGTTTTTGAATTTACATGTTGCATCCAAAAACCAGGTCAGCAGTTCTGGAAAGTTTAATCTGTTTAATGGTATTGAAAGCCGAGTACAACTAGCTAGATGTTCTTCCCTGTTGACCTGCATCACCAGAGCCATTGCTGCTAGCCTCGGCACCCTTGAGAGGCTCGGAGGGAAGTTGCGGTTTGCTTTTCAACTGGCCCGACGATGGCCTTTGGCTTTCTGTTGAGTCTCAACTCATTGGCCACCAGTTCACCACTGGCTGGCTTGAATTAGATAGCGGCCCCACCTCTCGGGCACAGGCTTCAGCGGCTCCTCGGCTATTTCACTGCGGTCAGAAGGCAGCCCATCTATCATTCCGCATTTGGTCGTGTGGGTGAAGACATGAAGACATTGGGCCAGGTATGTTGAATAGCTTGATTCAGATTGTTTCAGTCTTGGATTGAAACACTGGCTTGGGGGGTGTTTGTGTGGTACCAATGTCACTTGCAGGCTTCGCCGCTGTCATCGTTGTCTTTTCCTTCAGCAGAGGCAGCGCCGCACTAGATGTTTAAGAGAGTGTGTGCGTGGCTCCTTGCTTAGCACCCCTGTTCTTTGAATGTGGTAGCCCCAGAGATTATTCCAAGCCCAGGCACCCAAAAAAACGATAACCTCAGGCCCAGGCGTTTGGCGCTTCACCTGCTGTCACTGCTCCCCTGGCTTTGAGAAGGCAGGGCGACGGGACACTTCAAGTGTCGAGTTTGTTGGGCAGGGCCCACCGACGTCCAACTGTTTAATAAAGCTGGAAACGCAATAGTATTAGAGCGGTCCATCGCACAAATGCTCTGTGTTTCTCAGCGGCACTTCGGCTCAGCGGCTCTTGGCTTTTTGCTGTTTGGCTGCTGAATGTTTGGTGCTTTGCGCCGTGTCGTTGGGGGTCGCCCTGAGCCAGAGTCTTCAACTTCCTCGTCCTCAGACGAGATGGCAGCGGCGCAGGGACCACCACGAGAGATGGGCCCACCTGCTGACGACAGCGCAGGCAATGGTGGCAATGGTGGTGGAGCAGACGA